AATATACTAGGAAGGTTTTTAGCATGATAATTTATGTTTATCGTATATAATAGGTATACCGACAAAAGGACGCGGAAAAAAGGACGTATAAAAAAGGACGCGGAAAAAAGGACGCGCGAAAAAAGGACGCGTGGGAAAAAGGACGCGTGGCAAAAAGGACGCATATTATTAATGAAATACTATAAATAGTTTATTTTAATTGACAATAGCAATTACCCCCGTTTATCCCCTATATATAATTACAGAAAATGATTCTACCTAACCTAAAATCGGTTACGGTAAAAGTAAAAAGTGAAAAATATTTATATGAAAAAAACTTGCCTTCACACTTTATCCAGGCTTAGGACTGTCAGCAGAAGCTGGCGTGTTTACAAGTTTTTTTTTATTTTTTTTTTATTTTTTGCTTTTTTTGGAATTTTTTTTGTTTTATTTTTGATATTAATTTTTTTTGTATTTTTTTTATGTTTGCAACTGAAAATTGTGAGTAATGCCTCTCAAATATTCTAAAGTTGGCCTGTCAGCATAATCGGCAACAATAGCCCTTATCCTGTTTACTGTATCTTGATATTTTCTTTTGCGTGGAGGTACATTGCCCGAAATGTACTGCTCTATTTTCAAAACATTTAAATCATATTCTTTTTTTAGAGAATTAATAAATTTCCAAATATTCGGATGTGCACTATTGAGAAGAGAAGAAAAGCTGTTGTGCCATCCTTCGACAGCATTATTAATTCGTGGTATATCTTGGTCTGCCAAATCGTAACAATTCCATACATTTGCTGGAAAAAGGGGTTGTTTTCGATTTCCTCTTCTAGCTAATCTCCCTATCCAAGTGTCTTCAAAGTAATTAATCAGCGGCACTAGTAGTTCTTCATTTTGTGTATAAAAATCGCTATTGAGCAACTACTCGTACACTCTGACTACATGGTTGTCTGGAACAAACGCATATTTAGTCCTAACGTAAGATATTTTAGTCCTAAGCCTCGATAAAATGTGAGGGCAAGTTTTTTTCATATAATTAGTTTTCACTTTTTACTCTTACCGTAACCGATTTTAGGTTAGGTAGAATCATTTTCTGTAATAACATATGGGGATAAAAAGGGGTAATGGCTAATGTCAATTAAAATAAACTATTTATAGTAATTCATTAATAATTTGCGTCCTTTTTTCCACGCGTCCTTTTTTCCACGCGTCCTTTTTTCGCGCGTCCTTTTTTCCGCGTCCTTTGGTCTCGCGTCCTGTTTTCCGCGTCCTTTTGTCGTAGATTCAATATAATAAGAGAGAAAATTTTGCCGGCAATATTTTCGACTGGTATGAAAGTTTGTTCCCTTTTGACATTTCCCCTGTTAACAGTTAAATCACTAGACGTCAGTCGAATGATTTTGTAAAAATTTCATAAGCGAAAATAGCCAAAAGGCAACAAACCTAAATAAAACCAGAAGAAAATTTTACCGGTAAATAATTTTCTCTCGAACGATATTCGACAAACTATTTCACGAGGACAATTAATGCACCATATCAATGAAACATAATCTTTATTTATTTGTTAACAATATTAAATATATAATTATTATAAGCTATAGTAGTTTGTTATTCTGACTCTCTCGTTTGTTATTCTGTCGCGTCACACGGCGCCATAAGTCCGTTTCTGTTGCTCTAAGCATTTTCTCTGTTCTGACTTTTAGGGGCCACACTTCGCATTCATATGTTGTGATACTTTTTGTTATGGTGTATATTCTTCTTTTATTTTCCTTAGAGATGTTTTTATCCCACAGTACGTTGTTCAGTAAGGCTATGCCTTTTCTTCCCTGTGTATTTCGTTCCTTAATGGCTGCATCTAATTTTCCGTCGTGAGTGATGTTTACTCCTAGGTATTTGTAGTCGTTACATAGTTTGATCTCTTGATTTTTCTCTACGAAAAGGTTATGTTGATCTTCTCCGATACTCATGTACTCAGTTTTTTTCATATTCAATTCCAAACTCCACTCTGTAAACTCTTCTTATAGTTTTCGCATCATGTGTACAAGTGTACAAGTCCATTAGTGATATGCCCATATTCGTACATTTTTTCTTCCATTTGTTGAGTGCTGCTTCGATCATCACAGCATGCAGCATCATAAGACAGCATCCTTGTCTTAATCCATTAGTCACTTTGAATCTCGGTGTTATCAGATTTCCTGTTTTAATTCTTGTTGTTTGTTGGTAGTACAACGTTTTTACCGCTTCAATCAATTCTATATTTATATTTGTTTTCCTCAGTACCTCCCATAATTTATCAAGCGGAACACTATCATATGCTTTCTTAAGGTCTACGAACATCAGGTGGACTTCTTGACCACGGGCAACTTTCTTTTCAATTCTCAATTCAAAAGCAGTCTGTTCTTCGGCGTCCATATCTTGGTATTCTTCTTCTATTCGATTTTTTATTATTTTCCCATATCTTCTGCTTATACTACTAGTAACTGCAATTCCTCTATAGTTTTCAGGTTTCGATTTATCTCTCATTTTTATGAATGGTGCTCATATGCGATTCTTTCCAATTCTAAGGTATTTCATGTTCATTTATGCATTCCTGAAAAAGTTGTCGTAGCCGTTGAGTTAGTATTTTGGGTCCATGTTTGATGAGTTCTGGAGCTACATTTCCTGGGCCAGGTGATTTGCCATTCTTTAGATGTCTGCATACGGTTTCGACTTCTCTCTCATTTATTATGATTGGTGATCCTATCAGCCTGACGCTTTGTAGACCATAGTTCTCTAGCTGTTTGAAAGGCTTCTTGTTTCTGTTAGTAAATCTTTGAAGTATTCTTCCCAAGTTTGTGGTTATATGGACTGGATAATATCTCTTTTTCTGTTGTTTCTTAAATTTTTTAACAGTTTCCAGATTTCTGAACTTTGGCTTCCACCAATGTATGTATTTATCAAGGTGCACTTTTTTCCCATAATTCATTTGTCTTTTGGTATATTTTTCTTCTGACCATCGCTTGCATTCTTTCGTATTCGATTCTGCCTTCCACATTTCTTGTGTTCAGATGTTTTGGATACAATTTTTTTTTCTGTTGTAACCTCGGAAATCTTTTTTGGGTAGTGCTAGAAAGATAACCAATGGAGACACTGCGGACGGCAGCCAGATGGAGAGCGAGTCGTGGGTTCGAAACTAGCTTTTGGAACCGGGAATGGATCCAACGGAAAAAATAGGTAAAGATATGATAAGAGATATTAGAAAAGATTTTTTCCACCACTCAATTTTTTGGGGTTAAGGAGAAAATTAAGAAAACCTTAGAAAAGAAAAGAGATAAGAAAAGATATTTAGGTTCAGAGATCAAACCCAAGGAAAGATACCAACAGTAAATTATCAAATAAATCTGGTCAACGCAATATATAAACAAATAATAAATATATTAGGTATTACACTTACTTACCTACGAAACTTAATCAGCCTGATCTTTCTACTGGTCAAAAGCATAGTAATATTTAAAGATAGTAATTGTTCAGAGCTATTATTTTATCAGGGAACTTGTTAGGAACCGACAAATAAAATACATGCATAAAACAATAAGAATATATTAAACACAAAATTATGATTCTGCTAAATGCAACACAAGTAATAAAAATACACAACTATGAAATGGTGTTATATATGTATAAAATTAAGCAATAATGTAATAAGAAAATACCTTTACCAAGATATATAAGGCAATCATATACAAATATAGTTTGGCGTATCTCGAGATATGATAGGAAAGATAATGAACAAAAATTATAGGAAATACAAAAGATAGCAAAAATTACTTAACTCTAAATTTACAAAAAAAAAACAAAAAGGTTACAGGAATGAAAACATAAACCAAACCGCACTTGGTTAAGTCAATTAACTATCTCGCACTATTATTTAATAAAAAACTGAGACTTGTATGTTCATAGGTAATATTTATAGAAATTTCTTGAATGGTTCAATTACATTCAAAAATCGGCAATCTACAGGTGAAGATATAGATGATACGTCCAGATAATGGCAGGTGATATGGTACCATACCATATTACTCGCTCAAATGATTGTAGATAAAGATTACTTACAGTAGATCTTGACGAAGGCAGCTTAATTCACTGAATTTAATACTTTTCTGGTACTAAACACTGAATTTAATAACCATTAAAGGTAGTGTAGAACTATATATAATTTAATATAGTCTAAGGAAAGAAAACTCAAATATAAAGTGTATACACACTTAGAAAGTAATTCACAAAGACGATACGATAAGAAATAAAGTGAGCAAAGCGTAACACGAGATATCACTTCACTCAACAAGAGCCCACCGAGAAGTCTCACGAGATATTACCTCACTCAGCAACTGACCACCAACAAGTAAATTGGTTCCACTAAAAATTTCACCAACTTTCCCTGAAAAAGAAAGAAGAAAATATTCCCCCACTCAAGAATGATAGGACAGTTGTATGGGTTTCTCAGAAGGTAAGGCCTTAACGACTATTGGAAAGTTTGAGGTAAAATAATCGGTATTAACAATTGGACATAAGGAACAGACAATTCTTGGGATTAAGTTATTGTCAACAGATACGGGCCTTACCATACCGGAAAGCATTTGTTCTTTTCATACAGAGTATTAAGACGGAAGGATTAAAAACCTTTCTTAATTAGGGAATTCCATTGCAGCTTGGTGTCTACAATAATATTTTCCTATCGTAAACACGGGGATTCCTAATCATCGGCGTATCGCACGGGGGTAAAAGGAATTAAAAATATTTAAATATATTAATAATAAAAAAAATGTTACACTGTGTTATTTCCTGCGAAATATCTTGATCCCACCAATATGGTTTTTGGTGCGATCAAGATATTTCGCACGAATGTATGATAAACATTTTAATATTTTCCGATGTCTAATGCTATCGTTCTCTCCACACTTTCCCACTCACACACACACACACACTCACAAATTGAAAATGATACATAATTAGCGTTTTAATTTTTTTCCTTATTTCAGACTATCCAAGATGGGTTCCAGCAGCGGAGGAAAAAAGAAGTACGTGAACTTTCGAAGCCGACAACGCGCAAGCCTTAGTTTTTTTATAGTTGTCATGTTCTTCGGTGTGTTCGGTATTATAGTCTTTACAGAAATTTTTTTTATCGACGACAGGAGCCGAGCTTCGGGAGTGGTGGTCAGACCTGGATCGCTAAGCTACTCGCACAAGCAAGAAAAGTCAGCTGACTATGAGGAGGTAAGATGGATGAATGAAGCAATTGCTTTTCCGAGTGATGTTATTGTTTTTTCAAGGAGCTCGTAATTGACCTTTTGATACAGTTTTCTTTTTCTCTAATAGTTTTCTAACCTTGTGTTATTTGACGTCTGTATTACTGTACAATTATCAGATCAAAATTAGTTAACTAAAGACCAATGCCTCTCTTGTCACAAATCTATAAAACTTTCACTAAGGTGATCACAACTAGACTAAACAAAAAATTTGATGCATACCAACCAGTTGAGCAGGCAGGATTTAGAAAGGGGTACCGCACAACCGACCACCTTCACACTCTTAACATATTGATAGAAAAGACCAACGAATACAACCTTCCAATATACCTAGCGTTTGTTGACTATGAAAAAGCGTTTGACAACATAGAACTATGGGCAGTGGAAGAAGCGCTAGTTAATTGCCGAATAGATTCACGGTACAGAATGTTAATTCACAATATATATCAAAACGCCACTATGAGAATTCAGCTAGACAGAGATTTACAAACTCCATTAATTATAATTTGTAGAGGTGTCAGACAAGGGGATACAATCTCACCCAAACTATTTACTCTGGCGTTGGAAGACATTTTTAAATATATAAACTGTGACAATAAAGAGATTTGTATAAACGGGTAATATTTAAACCATCTAAGATTCTCCGATGATGTACTTCTGATAGCAACAACTATGGAGCAACTAAGAATAATGTTCAGACCTAGAAAAAACATCTCTTGAGAATGGACTAAAAATAAATCTAAAGAAAGTGTATAAATGTAAAATAGGTGGAACAAACATAGAACACGTCCAAGAATATATTTACTTAGGACAAGCTATCAGAGCAGACAAGAGTAACCAGACTAAATACATAACCAGAAGAATAAGAATGGGGTGGGCTGCATTCGGAAAACTCTCATATACTATCAAAAACCAAAAAATACCTTAAAAATTAAGAACAAAGGTATTTAATGCATACGTCCTACCTGTTCTGACATATGGTGCCCAGACGTGGACGTGTACCAAGAGCAACTTAGATAGAATAAAGAAAACTCAAAGAGCTATAGAAAGACAAATGTTGGGAATATTGTTGAGAAATAAAAAGAGGAACGAGTGGATAAGATGCAAAACCGAAACAACAGACGCTGTCGAACATGCATTGAAACTAAAATGGAAATGGGCTGGGCATAACGAAAGATATCAGGATGGAAGGTGGAACAAAGAAATTGTTGTACTGCAAAAATGTCAAGAGGTCGACCGCAAAATGAGATGGAAAGATGACATCGAGCAAAGCGCATGTAAGACAGAGACAAATGAGAGAGGCCTATATTTAACACATGAATACATTTTGGGCTATAGATAGATAGATAGATTACTGTACAATAATATAATTGATATTAATTGGTAAAAGTAAATTTAACTTTGTTTTTCAAGGTTAAATGCACATGAAACAATGTCGCAGAGTAACTATCATTTATGATACTGGTAAATTCGTGGCATAATCATAAAATTTAACTCACTAGGAAAATGTAAGGTTTTAATTGCGCAAAAAGTAGTGAAAGCGTTTGAAATGTATTCAAATTTATTACGTTTGAAGGAGAATTAATTTTGTTGACAAGAATACAGGAAAGCAATTTTCATGATTTTATCATGAAAATATTTGAATACCCTAAACTTCTAGGCTGTGTGTATTACTTTTCAAGATTAGAAATAACTTTAGGAATTTTCCCCATCTGCGCAGAGAGCAAATAAAGTATTCGGAGAGCAAGAGATGGATGGGACGCGTACTAAATACTTAATAACCCCCGCATAAAATTATTAGCCCCTCCGAGTTATAAAAAACTGATCACCGGCATCCTTTGGAAACCCGTAAACTCATCACCAGCATTTTGATCCAAGGCGCTGGTTTCTAAAGCGAAGAATTGCCTGTTATCTGTTTACTTTTTGTTGTTACTGTACTGTTACTGAACTTTTTATTTACGTAATGCCGGGTCCAGACCAAGCAGACAAAACGAAAACACAATTCTGAAACAAAAACACGATAAATCGGCGACAAAATTTGTCGTCAAAAGACAAAACAAAATTGAGACAAACTGTCCACACCAGAACGACAAAATATAAAAACAAAATTCAGTTGGTGACGTTGTTGTTGTGATTAGTGTTGGTTAACCATGTGGCGTTTTAATAAAGAAAAAAATGAAACTGAAGATTTATTGCTAGCCGCAAGTTGTTTTTTTTTGCCCTCATCATCATCCCAGGTTGCTAAACGAAAACCCAAACGTTTTTGGATTAGACCAAGCCTAAAAATGCGAGAAAGTTGTTCGATAGACAAATTGTTAGTTCAGCTGCGCGCAGATGATATTGGACTAAGTGGTGAAATTCGATCAAGCTTCAAAAATTTTTTAAGAATGTCCACCGAAGATTTTGAGAATCTAATATGCCTTGTTGGTCCTGCAGTTGCAAAAAGACATACTAACTTTAGAAATGCTATAAGTGTAACAGAACGTTTAGCAATCACTTTAAGATTTTTAGCAACAGGTGATTCCTACCATAACCAAACCATTTTGAACTGAAAAGTTTCCCAGCCCCAGATTTTTTAAGTCTTTTGTAGTTTCGTCTTTCTCTAGCATACTGGTTGTTAACATTCTTTATTTTTTTTTTCAACATCATTTAGTGGCACATTTAGCGATAAAGAAATTTCCTTTAATGCATCGGCTTTCTTGTAGCGATTTTTATAATCTTTATCTTTAGGGTCCCATAATATCGGATGCTCCCTGTAAATTTCTATTAACTTGCATGTATTTTGTGTATTCCACTTTTTGTCCCCCGACATGTTTAGAAAAATACACTAGTATTTATTTATTCACTACACAACAGAAAAATACACTTGATTTTGATAAAAATTGTACATTCTATTTCTCCTACTGCTTAACTCGTTTTGGCACGCACACGCGTCCACACTGCGTCGACAACTTGTCGTCAAAAACACAGACAAAACACAGACCTTTTGATCTTTACCGACCTGAGACGGGACCTGAAAAAGTTTTCAAATCTGCAAACAAAACAAAATTGTTTCAGAAATGTCTCATCAAATGTTTTCGATTTGTCGCCACTTTGTCGCGAAACATGAATGTTTTTGTTTTGTCTGCTTGGTCTGGACCCGGCATAATACATTAAATTCAGAAATTATTTTAAGCAAATTGCTTTAATATTTAACTGATATATTTATATCGGGTGTCCCCCGGCAAGTAGCCTATTAGTCGTATTCGTAATGAAAATATTTGTAAGCATATGTTATTTCCTCGTATATTGGAAATAGTCTTAATTGTCGAACATTAGCGGTTTGCAAACATTTAATGGTTTTAACCTACCACGGGATAGCAGGTAGGCCAGTGATCAATTTGCAAATATATCCCGGTAAATTTTGAAAATCCTTTATTTTATTGCGATGATGAATTTGTAATATCTACGAGTGCATTTATGATAATTGGCAATGAGTTTACGTTTACCTGATGGATGAACGCCAGGATTCTACTAGTTTGCAGGTCGAGAATACTTTTCTTACTATTTCCGTAATTTTACTACCTATCAAGTGGGAGTTCCGATTGTAACATTTTCAAAGTCATTCCTAGTTTTCACAATAAGCTATCTTACTATTCCAATCATCTAGACATAGCTGTAATGAAAAATCTAAGACTCCAGATTGAAATACAATCACTGAACAACGGAGCAGGAGAAGACCATAATTCCATCCTACTGGATTTTGGCACATAAAGAGAAGTCCACCTTTCAAATTACAAAAGGAAGATGAAAAAATGGATAACTTTAAAAAAACTAGTCAGCGAAGGAATCGGAAACATTCGGAAACCGTAAACAGCCCAGGAGAACTATAGACAAGTGTCTTGGACTTCGAAAATATTATGAAAAAAGCCATACACAACAGCATTAACGAAGAGAAACATACTAACAACAGAAGTAGATTTAGAGATACCAGACAATTGCTAAGGGAACTAATTAGGGTGAAGAAGAAAGGAAAGAATAGAGCAAAAAGATCAATCAAGGCCCAAGGAGACACGAACATAGTAAACAGGCTTAATAGGCAGATCAAAGATGATCTCTAAAAACACGCGAGCGAGAAATGGGTGAAACAACAAGAAAGAAACAGCAAAAACAAGGACCATGTGTGGAAAGTACAGAAAATTCTAAAAAACGACAGGAAACCACTGCCCCCTCTTGAAGGGGAAAACGGCATAGTTTAAACCACATAAGACAGGCCGAAGTAATGAGAACCACTCTAGAAAGACAATATTCCATGAACTATCACCAACAAGGAGACTCTGATTTTGAGGAGGAAGTCAAAGAAGACTACTACAAAAAACTTCACCAAAGAAAGCATCTGGACCGGTCAACATAACCAACAGAGTTCTAAATTACCTCCCGGAAAAAACAGTCGTTTTTTAAGTATCATAATGAATACACTGAAGAGATTTAGAAGATTCCCTTATCGATGAAAAGAAGCCCATATGATCAACAAAAAAACTACAGACAGCTAAATACTCAAGCGAACACCAGGTACTCAGGCTAACAAAATAACAGCAGACTTTAACGATAGACAGTTATCGGAGCAGCTTTCCTACGCGTAAGCAGAGCGTGCAACAGAACCTGGCACAAGGGACCGATCTACAAAATGAAGAATTATGGAAATAGCAATTCCATGAAAGAGCTACGCGCCTCGTACCCCTCCAACCGAAAATTCAGGATTCGGATGGCACAAGTCCTATCCGAAGTCGAAATTCCGGAGACAGCAGTACCACAGACAGCTGTTCTGTCTCCACTCCTGATCAGTGTGATCAGATGACACGTTAATAGTGGTGATGCACAAAAATCAAGACATTGCAACTAGAAACCTCCTGATAGCACTAGACTCCCTATAAGAATGATGCATACTTAGCCAAGTATCTTAAGGTCACCATTGACAAGCTAGTCACG